CCTACTAGTTTCATCAAGGGAAGAGCGAAGCCTCCTGGGGTTTCCAGAATTGATTCTAGTAAAGAATCCACTTGTTTTTCTCCTCTGGATATGGAGTCTTCTAAAATCCCTAAGTCCTTATTGTCCCATAGACTTATGTGTTCAAATGCTTTACCCATAGGGAGTGTAACCAATAGAAGGTGTGACTTTATTGAAGGAAGTTTGTCACTTTGGAGGCAGGCATTGAGTTTTTATGCTCAGTCTATTCTCAGTGTGGCACACTGTATCCTTCTGCTGCCTGCAGATCAAGATGTGGAACTCTTAGTTCCTTCTCCAACACCATGTCTGCCTGTGTGCTGACATGTTTTCCGCCATGATGATAATTACTAAACCTCTGAACTATAAGCCAGACCTATTAAATGTTAGGCTTAAAAAGAGTTGCCACAGCACTTGGGAGGCAGAGGCAGGCAGATCTCTGTGAGTTTGAGACCAGCCTGGTGAACAGAGTGAGTTCCAGGACAGCCTCCCAAACAATGCAAAGAAACCCAGTCTCAAAAACAACAACAACAACAAAACAAGACAACAACAAAATAAGTCACCCAGTCATAGTGCCTCTTCACAGCAATAAAAATTCTAAATAAGATGGTCTAGGTCCACTTGTTTACTTATTTCTCTAAACTTTGATAACTGACTATTAGTGCCAATGTTCATATGCTATTGCCTGGGGAATATTGGCTCCAACCAGAAGTGGAATGTGGAAAGGTGTACCTCACTTCTTGAGCCTGGAAACCTAGGGTTCATCTTAAACTGTCCTCTCTCTTCTTCCCATCAATTGGGTACACCTGGGGCAAGATGAGCTCTAGCACAGATAGGAAGGACTTATTGGAATGCCTTGGAGGAGGGGCATTTAGTTAAACTATTTGGGCATCATTCCCACCAAGTGGTCTCGGGGGCAACAGAATATGCTTGCTGATAAAAATTGACCTAGAAAGTGGAATAGCAAGCATCAGAGTAAAGTGAGTCTTCTATGTCAAAGGTCCTGGACAGGTTCCAGCTCCCAGTTGGTCCCCCAGTGTTAACTTAGGCTTTTCCCAGTTACAGTTACTTTTAATTGCTGGTGGACTGATGGTGTGGCTCGTTCCAAACCACATATAGTAATAGGGTCAAGGGTTCAGGCACAGCCAACAATCCTTACCAGCCCCCAGCTAGGAGTGATTAGGCAAATGTTGAATCATGTCAAGGGTAAAGAATATAGAAGGGTTAATGATTACATTTCTCTTCTGTTATCATGAAAAGTAAGATTTGTATGGGTTGCCTTTGCCTTGCCATCGGTTTGTGGACAACAACTAATAGCCTTGGCAATACCCTGAACTGTTTTGGGGTTTGATTAGATGTAACCCATTCCTGTACCTGGAAGTTCCACTCAGTGATGAAGATATCTAGTTGGGGCATTGTCTGCCCCATTATTTGGTGACTCCCATACAATCTCTCAAATGGCCGTTAGTGATGGCTGACGTTCCCCATATAACATACCATGCTGCTGCATGACAGAGAAGTAGTGGGAACCACTCTTCCATGTTCACACCTTCAGAGTTGGCTCACTCACACCTCCACCACCAGAGTTGGCTCTACTGAGGTGCCCAGGCGAGGTGCAGGGCCTGTTCTCCTGAGTGCTGCAGCTGGTGAGGAGGAGCTACTCTTCCACTCTATGACCTCAGGGCCAGCTCTATCATCCACCTCAGGCATAGAGGGGCCAGGGAGGGTGTCATCTCTCCCTTCCCATAACACCATATATCAGATGAAGGGCGGGGCCTGATCTCTCTTGCCCATGTTCTCTGGCTGGCTCACCTGTGCCTCATGTGAACAGGGTCAGCTCCACTGTGCTGCCCATTCAGTGTACAGGGGCCACTTCCCCAATGGTTACAGCCAGTAAAAGGGAAGGCCAGCTCCTTTGCCTGCTGGAGGTGGTAGGGGTAGAGGTCATCTGTACCTCACCCCCACACCACAGTGCATATCAGGGAGTTGGTACCAGCTATGTCCCTCTCATGTACTCAGCGCTGGCTCACCTGAAGCCCTGTCTGCCCAGATAACATGTATGATCCCTCTATTGAGTGCTTCAGAACCTGAAGGACTGGGCCAATTCTATAAAGCCCTATCCTCTCGCCTTGGTGGTAAAAAGACCTAGAGACATCTAAAGAGACCATGGCTTCATCAGAGCCATGAACCCAGAAGTAGATCCCAGTTGCAGCCCAGACCCAGGCATGACCATGGCCCTGGGTGGCAATTAAGCCATACACCTCATCCGACTCCTCACCTCTTCCACCTCTTCAGATATGCCCCTGTCCATATACAAGAACCATTCTGTGTATCTCTCTCTCCCATACCAAACCAAATATTTGCTCACCATAGTAGTGCCTGTCTGCCTGGTGCCAGAAGTTTATGGGTGGGCCTATGTTTCCCCTTGGAACCCATTGCCCCAGGCTTGTGTGTGGGCCTCTCTGTCCCACTCAGTCTACCATGGAGCCTGGAAGAACCATGCTTTCTCATCACAAAGGGGTCCTAATAATGCCCAGCTGCAGGGCACCACTCCTGGTTGGCGCTGAAGGGTACATGGAGTCCTCTCATGAGACTTTAGTTAGAAACCCCAAGCAGCATTAGGATGAGTCCCACCCTTCCCATCTGCATGGTGTGGGGTGGAGCTGCTGCTCAGGATTTTATTCTTTATGCCTAAGGAACACTCTTCTGTTTATATATAATATTTTCTTTCCCTGTTCATGTGCAGACTGGACAGCTGACACCACTGTTGAATTGCAGCATGCTTGTTGAGTGAAAGAAGCCAAACATGGGATGAGGCACACTGTGACTTCTTATTATTCCAGCATCCTCAGATAAAATGACACAACTCTACATTGTTGTCACTCAAGTGAAGGGTGGGTGCTGTTAAAGGAGCTCATTAGTGGCAATCTGGAGTAGTGGACATTTTCAATAATGACACAAATGGGATTACTTGGACATCAATAAGCATACATTTTCATGAAATCTGTGCTTATGTTTTCTGTACTTGTGTTTTAATGTATTTAAAATTAGGAGATGGAAAGAAGAAGACAATCCTCAAAACCATGAGATAATTAAAAGAACCATTGACATCCTGAAAATAAAAAGTGACTCCTTCTAAGAGACATAGACCTACATGGTACCCCAGGGAAGTGGAAAGAGACAAGATCACCTGAGCTAATTGGGAGCATGGGGGGAGAGGAGAGGGAGTTAGAAGAAAGAGCAGGGGAGAAGAGGAGTGGAAAGGAGGACCACAGAGGGCAGGAAGATCAAGTCATGGGAAGAATAGAGGAGAACAAGAAAAGAGATACAATAATAGAGGGAGCAATTATAGGTTTAAAGAGAAATCTGATACTAGGGAAATGTCCAGAGATCTAAAAGGTTGACTCCAACTAATAATCTAAGCAATAGTCAAGAGGCTACCTTAAATGCCCTCCTCTGATAATGAGATTGATGACTACCTTATATGCCATCCTAGAGCCTTCATCCAGTAGCTGATTGAAGCAGAAGCAAACACCTACAGATAAACACTGAGCTGAAACATGGAATCCAGTTTCAGAGAGGGTGGAGTGGAGAGCAAAGGGGTCAAGACCAGGCTGGAGAAACAGCTGACCTAAACAAGGGAGAGCTCATGGACCCCAGATTGATAGCTGGGAAACCAGCATAGGACTGTTCCAGACACCCTGAATAGGGCGTCAGTTTGCAGGTCTGCTTAATCTATGGGGCCTCTGGTAGTGGATCAGTATTTATCCCTAGTACATAAATGGATTTTGGGAGCCCACTCCACATAGAGGGATTCTCTCCAGCCTAGACCCATGTGGGAAGGCCTAGGCCCTGCTCCAAATGATATGACAGACTTTGAAGAACCTCATGGAAGGCGTCATGCTCTCTGTGAGCAGAAAGGTGATGGAATAGGGAGATGGTGGGGGGCAGTGGAGGAGGGGAGTGAAGGGAACTGGGATTGACATATAAAAGAAGCTTGTTTCTATTTAAATTTTAAAAAGGGAAAAAAAGTTACTCCTTTTGAGAAGAGGCCTTGATAAAGAGTGTGCATCCTGGGGCCAACAGCATAGCACTGCTTTGTTTTATAAATGTGTGTGTTTTAATACAACATACATTTTATGAGGAAGAAAGAAAAGTGCCAAAATATGAGAACAGATGTGCTCTGACAGCATCCCATGGCATTGTTAAACTGAAGGACACTGGTCTTACCATGATCATTTCTTGAACTAATTTTAATAAGGGACAGTAGTCTAACTATATAGAGTTCTTTCTAATATTTTGGATATGACAGAGATAAATCCCGTGGCCATCTTGGTCTGAAAAAATCTATGATATAAAACGTCAACATTTCACTCATAATCACATGGCTAGGTTATTATAAACAACAATATTTCAGAAAAGTGTGTGCGCCTGTGCAGTCTCTTTCCATGACACACAGTACTAGAATCCTGCAGCTCCCTACCCCAGCTGTACCTTTAGGGTCATGCAAGGGAAGCTCTGTAGATCTATATCTATTAACAGGCAACTGTCTGGGGCAGAGAATGAGATTGATGGGCAGCTCTTTCCTCTGGATAAATCACAGTTTTATTGTCTATGACACTGCTTGAAAGGAGCTCATTAGTAAGGAATAAATATTGATTTGTGGAGACCAAATGACAAGGAGGCTTTAGCCCTTATCCTGAAGCCCAGAGCTTGGGTGTAGGTTCCTGAGAATGCACAGAGGTCTTCAAACTTGGAAGTAGTGCTATGTGGAGAGCTTGCTTTCTTTGGTACTGTGGCTTTAAGCCTTTTTGTTTTCATCCACAGAAAAAGACATAAGAGGATATAACCTGAAAAGGAACCTATCTGGCCCTTTCCCAAGATCTGAACTACACCCATGCAGTTCTATGTAACTATGGCATAGGTCAGTACCACCTCTATCCTGCAATGTCAGGTATCAGGTCTCTGATTGCTATATCTTTTCCTTACAAGGCTGGTTAGGAAGAAAAAGTAAAAAAAATTTTTGAACGAATTTTCTTCCATTTCCAGTAGACTCTTCCTGTGAAATGACAACCTCCACTTGGGTCTAGGAAGCAGTTCTGAGGGTTTGTGTCAGGGCTGCAGGTGCTGGCTGCACACTGTGCATCTGTAGCACAGAAGTATGCTGCCGTATCTTCAGGCCAGGCAGCATTGATGGACAGGGAGCTGCTCTTGGTGGAGGTGTTCAGGGTCACTCTTAGTCTTCCACTCTGTTTCTCTTTCTCATTTGAGCGTATTAAGATGAGCATGGTAGGGCCTTTGCCTGAGTCCTGTCTGTACCACTGTATGGCAGCTATGGATGTTTTATAACTGCAGTTCACAGTGACATTTTCACCCTCCTGGATGCTCAAGGCCCAAGGATTCTCTTCTCCTTGCAGGCTGTTCACCCCTATGTAGAAACAAAGACCAGAGAATGAAGGCATTGGTTGTTTTCAAACTGCATCTCCAGATTAATTAGAAGGCTTCATCTCCCATGTATGTGGACTATGAACTTTGCTGTCCCTGTTGCCCTCACCAGAAAACGAAACTCACTTGTCAGTTGCAGCCATAATGTCACCACTGACATTCCCAGGAGTCTGTCCATTCTTCCCATTGAAGAACAGGTCACAGAAGATGCAGCTCCGGGCCTGATCACAAGCTGGTTGGTTTCTGAGCATCTGCCTTGAAAAGTCTCAGAAGCAAGTTCAAACACTTCCCTCCACATCCTCCCTCTTTTATCTCCCCAAACTTCTCACCTCCTCACTCCCCCCTCTGATTTAAAACCCAGGGAGTGTGAAGAAGGAGAGTCCTGACATCTGGTGGTGACCCCATCATCTTGCTAAGAGAGTGTGGCCTGTAAAGGTGAGGAGTATGCAGTTGAATCTACAATGCTTTCTGTTCTCTGCCTTTATTAAATTGTTGTTAGATTTCTTCAGCAACATGGGGAAAGGATGGCAATGACTCTGTAAGTGGGGGGGATGGCCTCATTTCCATCCTTAAGGGGCTAGAGCATTTCTGAAGTCTCTTTCCCTGGGTTTCCCAGGATGCAGCCAAGGGGTCCCAGAAAAGTTACAGGTGTTGGGCAACTTCTCACTATGCAGCTGCAGGATGATAGGTTTGCTTCTACTCCACATTCTCCTCTTCTGTGGTTATTTCTGTTAATTTTGTTCTTCATTCTTTGCTCATCACAGGAGTGTAGAATGTTGTTTTCCCTGCAAGTTGCCTGAGGCCTGTCACAGTTGCAGTCTCCAAATAACATATGGGACACTATATTAATTATAAAACTGTTGGACGTTTGCTTGGTTTTTCACTGGCTATCTCTGTCTTAAGTACTTAACCCATAATTGTTAATCTAAGTATTTCTCTTACTGGAGAAAAGGGTCTGAACCTCTTAAACTGGCAGCATATATGGTATCTGACTCTGTCTTTTCCCAGAATCCTCCTTGACTCCTAGTTATACCTATCTTGCTTCCCTATTAGCCAATGGTGCTTTATTGAACAACCAATAAGAGAGACAGATTTACAGAATGACAACTACCTTCATCTCCTCTTTTCTTTCTATATAAAAAGGTTTTAAGTGTAACAGAGTCAAATTATATATAACATCAACAGTCATCAAGTAAAAACTACAGTTAACAACATTTTGTTCATTAACTTTTAATAAGATTTAAAGAAAATGTTTTATCATCTATCCTATCTGTGTGAGTCTCAAGTCTTATATGTAGATAATCTTTTATCATAACTAAGGAAAACTGTGATTATAGCTGTCTGTCTTCAGCTCCATCAAAGACCACAGAAAGATAATATATAAACACTAGAATTGACAGAGACATCATGCTACCTGGACAGTCACCAGAAGTTCTGCTTTAATGTTTGAACATACAAATTTAGCCCATAAGCCACAATGTGTCTGGAAGTCTTCTCATCAAAGCAGGAAATTTCAAACTGTCCATCTGCATTGGCAGTCTTTTAGTCATTTTTCTGTGTCTTGTAGAAAGTCTGGCAGACTCTTCTGTGTAGTAGGAATCCTTCAAGACAGTCTAAATTTAGTAGTGACTTTTTTGTGGTTCCTGCATGTTCAGATTATACAGCAACAGTCAAACAGTATAGGCAAGAACAGTTTCTTGTCCAAATGTCTAACCTTGCCATGTTGTAAGCAAACTCCATAATGAGTCTCTTCGATGATCAGGAGCAGACATTTCTCATTGTCAAGAAAAACCTTAACCCATTTTAAATGTAATTTTCTGAAGGTCTTTGTAAGGTTTGAAGACTACATATCCATCTCAAATATAGCTATGTATATCTAGAAAACCCAACTTACCTAACTATAAGTTTTGAATATTATAGGTAACTATCTATAATCTGTATTTAATTATGTATTATATTTTAAAAGATCAGTATAAACACAATACTTAATCAAGAAGAGAAATATACATATCACAAAATTGACCTTAAATTTGTATCAATAAATGAATTCCATTCCAAGACAAAGTATTTATTTCTATATCATATTTCCTTTTTTCCCTTCAAAAAGAGATTGGTTGTGATCATTAACCAATTATAAGAAACCCCATTCAAATGTAACTGCTTCCTGATGATAGGGGACACTGTCCATACTATGCGAATCATGACAAAACTCAGAAACATGTCTAAGTCTTTGTCTTTTGTAGTCCTTAAGACTGTAGCATCTCAGCTGTCTAAGATGTTGGAACACTTGGCACAGTGCTTCTGGGGGTCTTGGTTCATCAAACCACAGAAATCTGGAAGGAATCCACAGCTTTCAAATTTCTGTGGAAATAGAAATAGAATATCTTTTCCAAAGTAACATAACCTTATACTTAAATTTTGAAGTCAAGGCATTTTCAAAAGATATAAGTTGAATTAATATAGCAGCATTTATAATCAAGTGTACTTTAGCAGTTGTTCCTTCTTTAGTAACCAAAAAACTGAAAAAACACAATAGCATACTCTTTGTGTAATTTTCATCTTTATGTGGCTTATATTACTCTATTTCTTTTACTTTTATTTATTTTTTTCTCTGAGACAGGGTATCTCTTTGGAAATCTACCTGCCTCTGCCTCTGGAGTGCTGGGATTAAAGGTGTGAGCCACCAATGCCCAGCTACTCTGTTTATGTTTTTTCAGTATCTTGTTACTTTTACTCTCCCTAGTCTACCTATATTTTTAAACACAATCAAAACAGTTTTGAGGTTTTACTTCATCTGAATCTGACTTTAATGCTTTTCTGGCCATATGTCTTATGTAGTCTAAAGAATATTGCTAAAGTGGAAACAGCCGCTGTCTTCCCAAATGCTGCAGGCTTGAAGATATGGTGACTGCCACTTCCAGTTCCATGTACACTCCTTTCAATTGTTAGCAGAGCCTCTTAAAAGAAATTTGCTATTTTTTTCTTATTCTGAATTAGGAAGACTCCCTTAAGCAAGCCATGTGAGTCTCTGCTTCTCTCTAGCAAATCAGAACCCACCTGAGAAAATGCTGCTACCAAGTAAAGGTGCTTCTCTCTGTTCTTTTGTTTCTAAAACCCCTCTTAAGCTTTTGTCATTCTATGCGGAAATTCAATCCCAAATACTGACACCATATGTAGATTGCTGTTTTCGCCCATCTGGTCGCCTAGGCCCTGCCACAGTTGCAGTCCCCAAATAACACACAGGACACTATATTAATTATAAAGCTGTTGTACGTTTGCTTGGTTTCTTACTGGCTATCTCTGACTTAAGTATTTAATCGATAATTGTTAATATAAGTATTTCTCTTACCAGAGAAAGGGGTCCAGACCTCTTACTCTGGCAGTCTACATGATGTCTGACTCTGTCTCCTCTCAGAATTCTCCTTGACTCCTAGTCCTACCTATCTTGCTTGCCTGTTAGCCAACAGTGCTTTATTCAACAACCAATAAGAGAGACAGATTTACAGAATGACATCTCCCATCACAGGAGCTTATTAGTTTACTGAGACAATGGTTTGATAGGTGATTTATCTATTAATTCGAGGGGTCTTGAATTATTTTGGCAACCTCACCTGTGTTGAATATTCCTTTAAAATTTTCTGTAATGTGGATGTGGATATCGCAGATAGTTTTCACTACACTTGGGATAGATTTTGGGTCTTCAATTTTCAAGGGTTATTTTCTAAATACTTGCTCCATGATGTTCACTGCTCTACTCTAAATAGTCAAATATCAGAAGCAATGCAGAATAAAGAAAATATCATTTCTGTATATTGTATAAATGTATCATTTATACAATTGAATATTACTCCTCCCTTAAAAATTGACACCATGAGAATTTTTTAGGCTTATGGATGTAACTACAAAAAAATCAAGCTGACTGAGGTGTCCTAGAATCAGAAAGACAAATAAGGTATACTCACTTATTGTTTCAGCCAGTTCTCACACTCTGAACGCTGATTCTTCCTTTAGCACACCTCACATGTAGTTCTCTAATCTGGGAGTGTGGTTGCAGCTGAGCAAAGCAATGTAGTAAGAACTATAACTAAAACAGGTTCTAACTAATAACTTTCTCAAGACACTTTTGATGACTCCTTTCTTCCTTTTGCAGGTCCGTTTTCTCAGTGTGTTCCAGATATGATATCAAATGTCTTGAGACCAAGGGAAAAAAGTTATTAGTAACTCTAAGGGACATTAGTTAACTTATGAAAATATTTTCATGTATTGATGTGTGATAAAAATCAGAACCATTGAGTGAACTTGGGGGAAAGCTTGAGGCAACACAAGGGTGAATATGCTAAGCGAGGGAACCTTTTCAGCAGTCAACTTAATAAGTGATAAATGGGGGTATTTATGGTGGCACAAGCCTGTGACCCCAGAACTCAGAATGGTGAAACAGGAAGATCATTAATTTTAAGTCAGCTTAGCCTCTAAAATAAAATCATGTCTCAAAAATAAATTAATGAAAATAAGTAGAGGAAGGCAATTGGGACAGTTAACTGAGCAAAGAGACAAACTACAAATGAGAGAAAACCTTATGAGCTGTTAATATGACAGAGGATTGAACCATTAAACAATAAACCAGCCAAAATGAGCTATGGAACTGAACAGGGAGTTCTCAAAGAAGAAATACAAATAGACAATGAGTGAACCATTGAACATTTTTAGTCATCAGTAAAATGGAAGTTAATCTAATGAGATACTTCATCTCACCCATTAAGGGTATCTATCATCAAGTAATCAAATTACAGCAAATGCTGGTGAAGACGTTGGGAAATAGGGAGTCTTCATTCACCCTGGGTCAAGCACAAACTGATGTAATAACTATGGAAATCAGTGTGAAGCATTCTCAGAAATCTAAAAGAGGAGTGTTGTGGGGTCCAGTTACGTAATCCCTGGATGAGTATGTGAAGAACTCTGTAGCTTCTTCTACAGAAACTATTGTTCAACCATGTTTATTGCTGCCCTATTCTCAATTTCTAGTAAATGAAGCCAGCCTAGATGTTCATCAGCAAAAGAATGGATAATGAGATTTTGGTGGAGATTTTATATTATATATTGGTAACACTGGAATGATTCATGGTGAACAGTGCAGAGGGGCACTGTGAGAGAGGCTTCAGGGGAAAAGGCAGAGGGTTTTATACCTCAGGTGAATTTTGTTCACTGCAATATTCTTAGACATGATTTCCTGCCTCCTGTGGGAGATATTTGCATTCAATTCATAAG